GCTCCCAAGTTTTAGGAAGAAGTCCGTGATTTAAGCGAGCTGATTGGCCGATTGCGGCACACAGGGATTTGCGCCACGGAGGGATGGACGTTACCCATCCGCCTGCTTTACACGGCGGCTTCTGTATGTGCCATGTACCCACTCATCACACACTCACATAACCTACACTACTACACGACATGCCATGGCAGACGCAATCACAATCTATCCACATGCACGTCACGTGTCGTTCTGCCGGCCCGGGTGAAACAGCCAACGCGCCCCCTTTGAGCGGGCGGCGGGCATGCGGCATCCTCGAGGGCCTTTCCCAGACACACACACACACACTCACTCACACTCCTTCCTCTTCTCCTCTTTCCATCTCTCCAACATTCGCACGCGCTCGCACATCCACTGCCCCCCCATTGCCACCCCGTCGCCGGCAGACTCCCGCAAAAGCCGGAGCTGCAGCCCTGTGCCCAAGAGCCGCCATTTTGCATGCTGGCCGTCGGCCGCACGACCCCCCCAGCCCTTGGCCGCCCCGTGTGAGGTTTAGCTGGCAGCGACCCTGACCGCCTAGGGAGCCTAGCGCCTGGTGCAAGGAGATCCATGAAAGCAGTATGGAGGGCGGACTATCGTTTCACTCGGGTCTGGTGAGAGCCCATACCACCTATACCGTCTCCCATCCTCCACCACCACCGTCGCCGTCGCCAACCACGCAGACAGCACACGCCCGGATGACCTCGACCGGGCCGCCTGCCCTCATGTCGCACCAGAGCTTCCAGAGCACCTACTCGACCTACTCGCACAGCAGTGCGCGCGACACCCAGAGCACCCAGGCCACCTCCACCTCGACCCTCTTTGGGCCCCCCTCGACCTTCCCCCCCTCGACCTCGTCGACGCCCGTCAACGGCGGTCCCGTCGAAGCCTCGGAAAACGTTCTCAACAAGCGCGCCGACAAGGACACCTCGCTGTTCCAACGATGCCTGACGCTGCAGATGCGCCTGCGCGGCATCCCCGGCTTCGACCGCTGGATGGCCGAGGAGGAGGACAAGGCCGACGACGATGCTGATCCCGTCACCCTGCTCTGGAGGACCTTCCGTCGTGGCTACCCCCTCATGGAGCTCTACAACGCCCTCGAGCCCCACACCCTGCTCACCATCCCAAACTCCAAGCAGGATGAAAAGAGCCTCAAGAAGAACGAGAAAATGGCCTGCTACAAGTTTATCCAAAGCTGCGTCGCCAACCTTAAAATGCCCCAGGAGAGCTGCTTCATTCTTGGCGACCTTTACGGTGACGACACAACTGGCTTTGTCAAGGTAAGCACATCTGTCTACACCCGCATCTACGCCCCCCCTCCCCCCTCTCATTCCCCACCACTAACCCGGATTTTTTTTCTCCCCCTCTGCAGGTCACCAACGTAGTCAACAAAGTCTTGGACGAACTCGTAGCCCGAGGCAAGATTTCTGGCGTTACTGCCGGATCTGGCGAGGATGCAGATGGCGTAGTCACTAAGCGCACCCAACGCGAGCACATCATTGACGAGCTGGTCAAGACAGAACGCACCTATGTGCAGCATCTGGAGCTGCTGCAAGAATTTAAGAAGCTTGTGGAAGAAAAAGGTGTCATTAGCGGAGATTTGGTTCACGACATTTTCCTCAACTTAAACGCCCTCCTTGATTTCCAGCGCCGTTTCCTCATCCGTGTCGAGCAGACAAACGCACAGCCCGCTGAGGAGCAAAACTGGGGAAACCTTTTCGTTTTGTACAAGGACGCATTCAAAGTCTACGAGCCGTATATTGCAAACCAAAGAAAATGCGAGGCAACAGCTATGCGCGAATTCGACAAGCTCAAGGAAACTGGAGGTCCAGAAGAGATGCGGCAAATGGTTGAATCGCCCACTTTGCTTGCATCCTTTTTGCTCAAACCATTCCAGCGACTTACCAAGTACCCGCTTCTTCTCCAGGTATGATTTCAGCTTCTTTCTACTCACATTCCCGCTTACTAACGCAACGGCGCAGCAACTCCGAGACAAGGGCGATCTGGACGAAGGTCGGCGAGAAGACATATCAAAAGGTATCGAAGCTGCTTCTTCCGTACTTGCAGGTACGAACGATGCAATTGCCCGTGAGGAGCGTGTCGAAGCCGTCGAGGAACTCAAGATGCTTGTGGAAGATTGGAAGGGTCATCGCATAGAAGGTTTTGGTGACCTTCTTTTGCACGGCCAGTACACGGTTTTGAAAGGAGAGAGCATGAGCTCCAAGAACGAGGAGCGAGAAGTAGGTGGTTCCCTTCTGTTTCAGTCTCACAAACAGCCAGCTAACGTGCCCAGTACAAAATCTACCTCTTTGAGATGATTCTACTCTGTTGCAAAGAGATCAACGTCAACAAGCCCAAGAACAAAATGTCTACACGATCCCTGGTCACCAAGGATGGAAAGCCAAAGCTGCAGCTCAAAGGTCGTATTTTCATGCAAAATGTTACAGAGACAATATCGCTCCAAAAACCAGGTAAGAAGACTATTGCTACCACATTCTCATTCCATGCAAGCCTGACTCACACTTGTAGGCTCATATACCTGCCAAATCTTCTGGAAAGGCGATCCCGGCATTGAAAATTTCATTATCAAGTTCACCTCGGAAGAGACAATGAAGAAATGGGCCCTGCAAGTCGACACCCAAAGACGCATATGGAAGGACCAGGCCCGGACCAGTGCCAGTACGACACACTCCAAACCCTCAGATACCCAATTTGCGTACATGCGCGACCAAGTTCTGGAGAACCCCTACCAAGAAGACGATGACGATGAAGGCGACGATGACATTGATCCCGCAACTGGCTATCTACGCAATCCATACGGTGTAAGACAAGATTCCTCCACTCCTTCCCTACGGTCACGTTCCACAACCGGCGAAAGCGGCCCTCCAATAAATGACGCAGACTCCCGAGTACCACCTCCACGTTTCCCTCTGGGTTACAACGGCCAACCACCACTAACACTGCGCACTCAGCAGATACAGAATGCCGCCAATCAAGAATCTTACTTTTCCCCAACAGCAGAGACACCATTGCAAACCCCAATGTCAATACACTCCAATGCACGAACCAGTCAATCATCAAATAACGGCACTTTTCCTTTTCCCCGGCAAGCAGCACCAAATGGTTATCCACATGAAGAGAACAACCGACACACTGCCCCCGCGCAATCACGCCATGGATCTCGTGGTGAAAACAATGCACACCAGTCAGCCCGTGCTCAACGCCCATCACTACCCGCCAACGCCACCATTGCAGCCCAAGGACGGATGCGCGCGGCTAGTAGTCCTGATATCAACTCCCATCTCCAAGGCCAACCACGAAGAGCACCCCAGCAACCAGTACCCGAAGTGCCGCCCTTCCCCACGCACTATGCCTACAACGCGGCCATTGTCAACCGCAGCGCCAGCAATTCTCCAAATCAAGCACCACCACGAGCAGCGACTCAATCACCTGCCATTCAACGTGACCGCCTCATTCAGCAACGGACCGCCTCAGAGTTGGCAAACCAGACTCCCGAGTTTCACAATGGTGCCATGCGCCGTGACCCAAGTTTTACTTCTGTGAACCGGACCATGACGCCTGCATCATCTTTTGAGCGCAGCCAAGGTACCTTGACACCAGCTTCAATGGATTCTCGAAACATGTCGCCGCCACTTGGCCAGGATCCAAGCATACCGACTCAACTCAAAGTCAAGGTCCACTGTCCCTCGGCAGGCAGCTCAATGGTTCTGGTCGTCAGTACCAACATCAGCTACCAGTCACTCAAAGATCGCATCGACGCAAAATTGCAGAGGTCGACATCCGTGTCTCTTGGATCCGGTCAGGTCAAGCTAAAATACCTGGACAGTGACAACACCTATGTCAGCATACAATGTGACGATGACGTTCAAGAGGCATTTGAAAACTGGAAAGAACAGCAGAGTAATCTCAATCCTGGTGGCGGGCTTGGCGAGATTGAACTTTTCTGTCAACGATGATCTTCTTCTTCTTCTTCTTTCCTTTCCTCTGGTTCAACATAGAGAAAAGGGTGGGGCAGGGTCCAAACCATTTGTGCTATACGTTGCCTGCTGCTCTTTGCTTGCATTTGGGAGTTCTTTTATACAATGGGCAGGTTGGGGGGGTGTTCCAAATCACCTTTAGTGTTTTCCAGACGGGGGGGAGCATGGGCTGGGAGTTTTTTTTATATACACACACGCACGCACACTCACATACTCTCACACACAATCGGGGGTCCTTTTTATCATCCGATCCAGGAGAGCAACATACGGGGCCTGTTGTTTGTCTGTTTTCTTTTCTTCTTCTTCTTCTTCTTCTTCTTCTTCTTCTTCTTCTTCTTCTTCTTCTTCTTTTTCTTCTTCTTCTTCTTTTTCTTCTCATGCCTTTTTTTCTCCAAGAATCATTCACACAATTGAGGGCGGAAGAAAGAGAGGGAGAGAGAGAGAGAGAGATATGCAACGGAAAGGTAATTTCTTCCTTTCTTTGTTTGTTTTTGTTTCTGTTTCTGTGTGTGTGTTTTTCACTTTATGGGAACAATTTTATGAGCATGTCATTGAGAGAGAGAGTAGGGGAGAAGATATGTAAGGAGAGGAAGGTGGAGGTGGAGGAAGAGAGAAGGAGGGGGGAAGAAGAGTCGAGAAGAATTTTCTCGATGTGTTAGTCGGACTTTTTTGATATATGATACACCAACTTTCTTTCTTTTTTCTCTTTTTTTTCTCCGGTTTTCTGGACTAGTAGAGAGGGCGGGGTGGGGGGATGGTGAGGGAAAGATGGAAGGAAGGGGGGTTTTCTCTTTCGTTTTCGGAGACACACAGGCTTTTTATATATACCACGTCCTTTTTGTTGTGTGAGTAGAAAGAAGAGAAGAGTACGAGTACGAGAGAGAGAGAGAAAGGGAAAAAAGATTCCATCACTTGCTGTATCAAGGTCCCCACCCCCTCCCCCACCTCCTTTGCTTGTTGGTCTATTCACTTTTTTTTCTTCTTCTCTTCATTCCTTCCCCCAACCCTCTTACAACTTTTTGGTTCTTCAACTCTTCGTCTTTGGGACTTGTTCATCGCTCTTTCTTTCCTTCCCCTTCTTCCTACCCACCTATCCTTTCTTGTACTTTTTTTTCCTTTGCCTTTCCTTCTTTCCCTTTTTTTTCTTTCTTCTTCTTCCTCCCATCTTCTCTTTCTTTTTGATTGGTTGAGAGATATCGTATTTGGGAATATTGCGCCGTTGTTCGTTGTTCGTTGTTGTTGTTGCTGTACGTGTGTGTGTGTGTGTGAGGGGAATTAAGACTTGTTTTTTTTTTTCGTCTTCTTCTTCTTCTTCTTCTTCTTCTCTCTTAATATGAATTAAATGATGGAATGAATAATACAATCTTTTCTTTAGACGATTTCTTCTACTTCTTCTCATTGCTTGCGCATGTTGGGTTCTTGGGCTGTTTATAGGGAAGGGTGTGTGTATGAGGGGTTTTTTTTGAAAGATGGTTCTGTGAGAAGAAGGTGAGGAGGGTGTGGGTGAGTGAGTGTTGTATGTGGGGTGATGGGGAATGGATGTGGTGAAGTGGTGTGGAGGGCGTTTTTGGGCTTGGAGATGGATGGAAGTAGTTGGGGAAGAGCTTAGCTTAGGTGTGGGGTTGAAAGAGAAAGATGAGTGAAGGAAGACGGAAGGAGGGTGAAAAGTGTTTGCATGTCTAGTTCATCGGTTCTTGTTCTATGGTTCTTCTTTTTTTGCTGGCTTGTGGTATGCATGTTGGTTGGCCACTTTTCGAGTGTATGCTATGTAGATGCAGTGAGGTATCTTGTGTAGCGGTAATAGCATGACCAAGAGTCTAAGGACACAAGCATATATAGCTCGTCTGGCTCACCTGTAGCAGTCTTATTTACAGCATTGCTACTTTTCTTCCTCGCCTACATACATATCTGGGGGTATTCCAGAAGCCGAGCAGAACATCAAAAACGAGGCACAGTAAAACTATCATGCACTTGCGCAATGAACTGGGGATATTATTTCTAGCTAACTTGCACAAACGTCCAAGTCACGTCTAGAAGCGACGGATAAAACAGTATAAGAAAACTCGTTACATTCGTTGCACTTTGATCTCATGATCCAATTTTGAAAGATAGAAAAAGGAACATCCAGTCCTAAGAAAACAACAGGGGGAAGATATAGAATAACCATATAAGTTCTTCCTTTCCGTCCTCTGTCACATCAATATCTCCATTGACGTGGATACTAGTCGCCGTCACCTCACTTTCTCGTCAATGACGAGGCCCGAAAAGTGTCAGGGGTGTGTGTGGCCGAAAGAAAAAGAAACTTCAGTTCGCTAAAACGCTTCAATGCCGTCGCTATGCAGCCATCTGAAACAGAAGGAATGGGCAATCAAGTGAAAAAAAAACAAAAGGTGTAGAACGAGTGGAAAAGGGTTCGTGTGGTTCGTCCGATAGAGGGGAGATCGTCTGGCGCATTGCTAGTGCATAACGTATGTATATACACACGCACGTTATGATCTCTGACCCGGCCAGTGGATAAAACAACATTACACTGCCCATCTCGAAACATATCAAAGGAAAACGGGAAGCGAGGAGTGTCGTTGTTTCGAGCCGAAAAAAACAGTGTCATCATCGCACTTCATTTCGTAAGAACAGATGTAAACAGGTTCGTAGTCATTTGGGTCGTTGGTATCGCTGAGCTTGGGCTCTTCAAGTCTTTTTGGAGGGGGGAAACATCGATGCGGCTGTAAGGGGGGGGGGCGGGGGTTTCGTAAGATCTTGCGTCGTTCGTTGTTGCTAAAGTATTTGATTATCATGATGGCCATGTTGGTGGGTGTCGTGATCCATCGGAGTGTTTTATTTTTTTCCGTTTGGGGCATATTTCCTTCTTTAAACCCGGTAACCAGCATCCTGGAGACAGCCTGAGCAACGCTCATAGGCTCGGACGTATCCGCGTCCGCAGCAGCATGCAGATGGAGTAGATGGCGTAGCGGAAGCCTTGCTTGGTCGTCGTCCCGCTGCAGCCGCTTGTGCAGCATCCAGGCCGCAATCGGAACTCCTAGGGCTCGTACCACCACTGATGGTACTTGAGCTATCATAGTCGTTGGATGAGGTCGTATTTCGTCGGCCCGCTCCGATTGGGGTTGGAAGGCCTTGGGCTCCCTCTCCGGGTCGCTGTCCTGGGTACATTCCATCATTTACCGAAAAATTGCGGCAAATCATGTAGGCTCGGGTAGCGGCGGCATTTTTGGCTAGCTCCTCCGATTCGTACTCAACATCTGTAGAGTATTCACGGTTGTTTACTCGTACAGTTGAGCCGTAGCCGTAGCGTGTGCGGAAGGTCTGGAAGAGTGGGTCGGGCCAGTGGCGTCTTTGGCAAAGGCCTATCGTCAACGGTTAGTTTTTTTGATCGTCAGGGCACTCAAAACAAAGTACATCGTGCAGAGAACCTTGATCAGAACGTATCCCTTTGAACGCCTGGTCATGTGGGTCCCTCAATACTAAGCGGTTAGGCAGGAGTACCAGACAAACCGTCCCGCCACGCCAATTGGTGCTTGTATGAGATTTCTCACATGGCAGCTGATACCCGAAGACACGGTACACGGTCAAAAAAGGGGGCCTGTTGGGTACTAACCTGTCAGGTACATGACGTAGAACATATTGAAAGGACGGATTTGGTGGTTGACGTGTTATGGAGCGATTGGAAAATGACGAATGGGTGATTCAATGGCGACTTGGCCGTCCGAAAGTAGGGCTGCGGTTGTACAGGAATTGGTGAATTGGCAGGCGTTTGTTGGCGGCGACGATAGGGCAGGGCGAAAGGGAGGTAAGTCGTGGCAGTGGTTGTACAGCAGATTGAGTTCAAGGTGTGGTTGACAGGTGCCAATAGAGAAACGACAGCTGTTCAAGGAAGAGGGAGGATGCCAATGTATGAGGGGCAAGGAAGAGGGAGCGGCTTGCAGTCAGTCGAACGGGGGTGGGGGAAGCATAAGTGCCTACTGTGGGATGGAGTAATATAATGCACCAGACCAGTGTAGCACGTACCCAAGCGCGTCTCGCCCACCAGTAGCAACCGAGAGGCAAGAAGACTTGCGGAAATGAATAAGCTGCGGGTCCTGTTGCGGCTCTGTAGGAGAGAGACCCATAGTATGTGCTGGCGAGAAAGGAGCCAACGGCAGAGGTTCGAGAATTTACGGCTAGCAAGAAGAGTCAAACCTCAAGAGGTACAGCCTCACCGGTTCACTCTTGCCACCGTGCTGCCCGCAGTAGCGCTCGAAAAAAACGGCTGTCGATCGGAGACAGTTTCTGTAACCCGTTCGTCAAGGCTGGACATGTCTCGATCGGCGGCATGCAGGTTTAGACGCCTAACAAATATGCATAAACAACAGAGTGGCCGCCATGCACCCTTTACGGGCGCTCTTTTGTCGCGTTTCTCGCTGCGCTGGGGGCCCACTAATGCAATATGCAACGTGAGGAGGGGAGAAGGCAAAAAAAATACGTCAGACTCTGCAACCTTTTGACAAGTGTACCGAAACCAGGGAACCTTGGCGACAGACTGCGTGGAGTTTCCATGTAGGGTTTCTGGATGGGCAGGGTCTAGAGGGGTTCAGCAAGACTAGACCAAACATTGCATGGCAGAGCAAAATAAAAATGGGCCGGCTAGTCGGCTAGGGTGGCCCATTGAAGCGCTTGAAGGTTGGGAGTGGAGGGAGGGCCTGTACACGATTTCTGTGAGGGAGCGAGGAATGCAAAGCATAGTGGCTCGAAGCGAGAATGCATCGCATCCGGCATAGCATGGGGCTATCAGGGGTGGGCGTGGCCAAGCGGTCAAATGAGGGGAGCTGATTGATGCGTTCGAGGGATGTCGAGATACCTGGGGTTGGTGCTACCAGAAAGCATCAAGCGTCACTGCCAACGCATACATGCAGCGAGCACGGCCCCCAGATCATGGCTGCTTTGCAATGCGCCTGCATCTCAATGGGGCAAAGGGTCAACGGCTGTTAACTGTGAACCGTGTCCATGCAGGCATAAATTGGCAGCTGTGGAGATTGTGTGCCGGGGGGGTTGCTCGGGCTAGAGCTTGGAGCTGGAGCAGCATGGCAAGATGTGGTGGAGTAGATTTGGGACAGGCCATGATTGACGAGAAGGGGAGCAGCCAGTAGGGGCCATGCGTTCCTGCGCAGGCCTGCCGGGCCATTGCGAGAGATTGATTTCACAATGCAACTTTTGACAGACCCTGGAGGCGTTGACGGAAGGCAGCGGTCCAGTGTCATGACTGGGTCCACACTGCCCATGGTTGAGCGAGGCCAGAGATGGAGAGCATGTTGCCGAGGACGAGATAAAGATTTTTTCTTCTTCTCTCTTCTGAATTGGACACAAAGGGATCGTGCGTCGGGCGGCTGCAGCGTGTACTCGATGTCTGGCCTGCCGCGTAGTGGGTTCGAGCAGCAAGCAGTAAGTACAAAGGTTGGGTGAGCACAGAGCAAGTCGTCGTGGAGCGGACGCATAATCTCGGTGAATCCATAGGTCGAGACGGTTCACGACAGGCAGCGGTGCATGCTAGGTCCCAGGGCCAGCAACGGCCGCTTTTTGCCTGGCGCCGATCCAACGCGGTGGTGGATACATGCCCTCTCTGCCTACTGTGTACATGTGTACTGTAATGTAAGTACATATGTAGGATACATATCCAAGTCGGTACATGGTGCGGGGCCCAGGGCGCTTGTTCATGGCGGCAAGGAAGCGCGAGCAACCATGACTATTGTCGACCAGACCAAAAAAATAACAGCCGTCGTCCTGTGATAGCGAGGCGGGCGCCTTACTCCCGCGCCAGCCATTATCTCTCCCCATGTGGAGAAGGTAAAAAAGCCTTCAGCAGCCTGTTTCGCGCGCGGGAGATCTGTGGATGACGCGAGCGTACACCCGCAAGCACGGCCACCCGCGCACCCCCAAGCTGCAAAATAGGCGGTGAAGAAGGCGTCGTTGTCCGGCAAAGCCATGCGCCCCTCTCTGTGCGCACTGATGTCTCTCGAGAATGCATTAGCAGGCGAGACAATACAGAGCGAAGTCCGGAACAAGCAGCGGCGGTTCCATGGCAGCCATGGATGAGGAGGCGTCCTGTTTCGAGTACACTACATGTCGTCTTCAAATCGGCCTTGTTGCATCCATCCATACTAGGCGGTATTAAGACCCACATGTTCTCGCAACATTCCAACCAGCCACTGCCTCGCCCTCCTCTTCAGCCTCGCCGCGCTGCCTGACCGTGACCGTGACCGTGACGGCAACACTCGCCATGGCTCCAATTGACGAGGGGCCTGCAGGGCAACAAAGCTAGCTGGGTGTACATACGCATGTACATACGTACGTATACGTGTGTAGAGGGGAGGGGGGCCGGTCTGTGGCCATGTCCCACTGCCGATGCCTGCCACTAGGTGGGGGGCATCCCGAGACGCTCCAATCCCGTGACTTTGCCTTCACGCTTCTTTCCGTCCATACATGGACAATACGAGGGCGCTGCGACGACAAGAGACTCGGTCCACTCCCCTCCGTGCTCGACGGGCAGCAGTTCCACGGCGGCCAAAATACCCGGTATTGGGTACTGGCTCATCATGTCGGCCGTCTGTCTTGCCCAGTCCAGACGGGTGGCAGCAAAGAACCCCGCAGCCCAACCCCGCTGTCAACCAGGATTGTCTCTTTCATAATTCATGTAATGTGCTAGGTCTGATCGCTCCACAATGTCCGACGGGCATCAATCGGTCTAGTCGCAATCTACACATGTATGTACATATGTACACATATGCCCATGTCACCATGTCGCCATGTCCAATGTTCACATACGTATGTACTACATGATGCCCGTGGAGCGGGGGGCCAGCACGTGCGGATGGGCCTTCTGTGACTGCGGTATCCTGAGCAAAAAAAGCACCCACATCACAAGTACGGAGCTGAATTCAAAGTTTCCCTATGCAAACCATAGGGGAACCGAAATGCCCGCTGGGTTTCACATGGCTCTCCACCTATGCCGAAGCTTGAGGCTCCGACACCCACAACCCAAGTATACATATACCCTGCGGGCTGTGGGTGTTTCAACATCTGTCCACACGCCAACGTATACACCAGGCCTAGACTCTACTCACCCACCGAATTTACTTTGTACCCGCCCAATAGCTTTTAGCGAGCCGCCATCATGCCCAAGATTGTCCGCCTCACGTTCTTCAAGATCGGCGACAAAGACACCATCCAGGAAGTAATCGGCCTGTACAGCACTCTGGCCCAAGACGCAACAAAGGTACGTTAAGAAAAGTAGTCGGCTTCTTGACTCGTACACTACGTCCGACCGTCGTCTATGCCGCACCTTTTCCTTAAAAGGAAGGCACCCATACTGTGTCCGCTCTTCACACTGCCCCAAAGGCGCATTACATAATCGGACCGTGCATGCACGTCAGGCCCATTTCGTCATCTCCGACACGCCCAGAATCTTATCGCCCTCGGGGCATTTGTTGCGTCTTTTTAATTCCTCGCCGCGGACGAATCGTACCATGGCTACATGTATTCCCTAGTCGCTTGCCCATGTTGCGAGCGGCTACGGTACGTGGCGGGCGCAGAGTACTGCCGCGACTAGGGAAAAATGGGGTGGAGTGACCGCCGTGGGTGTCTGCATATCGCGGAAACTTCCTTGTGATCGCGATGCATGTGGGCGGCTCAGGCTCCTCATTCCTAACCGACATGGTGCTAAATATACCCTACCCGCCAATCTTGTGCCCTCGTGATTGCCGAGGTGCTTTGTCTTTTTTGTACCCTGGTATACAAGCTAACGTCATCTCTCTCTAGGACGGCAAGCAGTACATCCAGCTGGCCCAGGCCAGTGCACCCTACGACGACCACCGCAGCCAAGGCTACAACCTCATGGCTCGCTGTGTCTTTGATTCCTTGACTGACATGGAATACTTTGACCAATCCGATGAGGTCCATGCTGGAATCAAGGAACAATTGCTGCCCAAGTTTGAGGCAAAGCCGTTGATCATCTACTCAGATATGCAGTAAAGACTATCTGAAGTTACAAGTTGCTTGGAAGTCGGTATGCTTGCAAAGCAAATATGCATAGCATCCTCTTCACTATGCTTCCAACCTTGCCTGTCCTTCCAGCTTGCAGGTGCTATTGTATGACGGATGCGCTGTGTTTGCAACTTAGAATATGGAAGCATACCGAAATAATGAATTACAATGATTTTCGACAGACTCTTTTGTGAATCTATTGTTTGTGAGTGAAATAGCAAACGCTTGGCCAAACACCACACATTCACCCATACTCAAGATTTATTATACAACTCAACTTCCATTCGACGTCACCACAGAATACCAGAGTATTATCTCATACTATATAAAATGAACCCCAGAATACTACAATAACACAATACTAGAGAATAGCAAGCCACTGATGCCAATTCACCGCAGCGTCCCCAAAGTCCTTACCATTATCCACAATGGCTATTGTCTCAAGGCATCAACCCCATTGTCTCACAATTCTTCTTTATTCACCTCTTGTCACTCCACTACAAAAAGACCTATCCCCATCCCCCTTCGTCCACGCAAAGTCCGCTCCAATCTTCTCTTCTTTCTCAACCACACAGAACCAATTCTTGAGACTTATCAAAACTACCTTCCATCATGTCCTCTCCACGCACCACCACCACCACCCAAGCCCCCTCAACCCAGGAGATTGAAACCTCCTTCATCCGCGTCCTCAGCAACGGCCCGCTGAACCTCGAAACCATCACAGACCGCATGAACGGATTTGGCGAGGGCCACGAAGACGCCGTCGCGGCGGTCTTCGAGTACATGGTCGAAGCCATCGAAGGAGAAGGGGGAGCTACATATCAACTCCGCCCTGAATACCATCCATCAACCACCACCACCATCACCAACCCCAAGCGGGAAGAAGTCAAAGAAGAAGACTTCACACCCACCCTCCTCCGCACACCACCCACCAACACCACCAACAACGAAGCCACTCCAACCCGCAAAACACCACCCGCACCCCTTTTCTTCGTCCGCTCCCCGGCGCCCTCACCTCAACTCTCCTCCCCTCTCTCTTCACCACCAACCCATCTCTCATCACCAGCATCGTCTCTTCCACCCCGTCCACGCCCCCGCTACACTTCGTCTCCGCTGTCCAGTCCACCACCGACGTCGGAATTGCGGTCGCCGACGCCACCGCCCGCCAGATCCACCACCCAGCGCCGCACTGGACCTAAGGGCAAGGGCACTGCGGCGTCGACTGCGACTGCGACTGCGACTTCATCTCGTATGACCAAGAAGAGCAACAAGGCTGGGGCAGCCAAGAAAAAGGGAGGAGGGATGGAAAAGGTGCAGTGCAGTGGTGTGACGAAGAGGAAGACGAGGTGTGGGTTTAAGAAGATGTGTGAGGTGGGGCAGAGGTGGGATTGTGGGAGGCATGGATGAGTGGGAAGGAGGAAGGAGATGAAGAAGAAAAAGAAAAAGAAATAGTGGTCAGGAATCAAGATATTTCATGTATGAGGTTTAACTTTTTTTTGGTACATCGGCGTTGGGAGAAAAAGGAGTGATAGGGATATGACAGGAAGGGATGAGAAGAGTGTTATGGGATCGAGGTGGAAAGAGACCAATGAGAAGATTGGTACATATGCACAGAGAGACAAAGAAGAGTCTACTTACACCGATATATTCCTTGTCTTTCTCCACACTTAAATAGTAATCATCAAAAGCAATTCACTAATCCACATCAACACAAGTACATGCATTTCCATACTTCAATCAGCACTAGCAAATATCTTGTTATAATAGGCATTTTCATTTATGCCACCACCATCTTTTCTGTTCCACCCAAACCCACCGTCTCTAAATAATGGCTCTGTAGCTAACTAACCACCACAAAACCCCATTTCCGCTGAAATCCGCCAAAAAAAGAAACCGAAACCAGGATATCAGAGAGGAGAAAAAAAGCATCCCAACCATTTCTTAGACGCTTTTTGGAGTGTAGATGTGTTCGTGTTTCGTTAAAACCATATGCTGAAGAAAGGATGCTGGACGCCCTTGTTTGAGAAACAGAAACACCTGCGCACTCTATATGCCCGGGTGGTATGCGCAATATACAAAGAAAGTACACAGTATTAAAAAGTGTAGAGCTCGGTCGTGTCCGATCGGGTATCGCGTTTACATGATAATCGAAGGAGCTGGGCAGTGTTAGTTGGTGTACCGACTAAAATGAAGAAGACATGGATAACTTACTGTCGACGTTTTGCTTGATCGACTTGTGTGGCAGTACGGAACCACCGTTGACGTAAACCTCGTCGCCAATCGAGACATCGTCACCAAGAACAGTAACGTTCTCCAAACGTGCCCACTTGCCAACGGTACTGTTCCAGCCGACAATAGTCGACTTGACCCAGGCGTGGTCCTTGACACGGCTGTTCTTGAGAAGTACGCATCGCTGCAGACGCACACCATCACCAATAACAACATCAGGTCCAATAGTAACGTTGGGTCCGATGCGGCAGTTCTTGCCAATCTTGGCTGATGGGTCAATCAGGACGTTTCCGCCGTAGACATAAGGCTCGGATGCTGGTGTGAGCAGCTTGGAGTTCTTGCGAGCAAGCGACGAAAGATAGAGGCATGTACCGGACAAGAAGTCCTTGGGCTGTCCAACGTCCATCCAGAAGCCCTCGAGGTCAAAGGAGTGAAGCAGACCATCCTTGACAATAGCAGGGAAAGTCTCCTGCTCGATCGATGTAGGGCGGAGCTCAATGCGCTTGAGTACGCTGGTGTTCAGAATGTAAATACCGGCGTTGATGCGGTTGCCGACGAACTCGACAGGCTTCTCGACGAAACGGTCAATCTTGGAGGCATGGCCAGGCTTGTGTACAACGACACCGTACTTGGACGGCTCCTCCACCTTGGTTACGACAATGGTACCCTCGTCACCGTGGTTCTTGTGGAATTCAGCGAGCTGCTTGAAGGGGTAGTCGCAGGTGACATCGGCGTTGAGGACGAAGAATGGCGAGTCATCCTTGCCCAGTACGTTCTCAGCGAGCTTGAGGGGACCGGCGGTGCCGAGGGGCTCGGTCTCGACGGAAAACGTGATGCTGACGTTGTACTGCTTCTCGTACTGCACAGGCGGTTATTGGAATGTTTCTGCATAATCATGAGAGGCATCTACTAACGGTCTTTAGGGCCTCGGCCATGATCTCCGGGCGGTAGTTAACAGCGAGCACAACATCGGTGACACCAGCGGCAGCAAGGGCCTCGATCTGGTGCTGGATCATGGGCTTGTTGGCGAACTCGACGAGCGGCTTGGGGTAGGTGAGGGTCTGCAATTAAGCGTCAGCATCGCTGCTCATTGCTTTTGCCAACGCGGGGCTCGCAAAGGCGGAGGAGGTGCGGAGAGTCATACCAAAGGCCTCAGACGGGTTCCAAAGCCTCCGACGAGAATGATGGCTGCATTTGCTGTTAGCTATGCGTGTATGTAGTACAATTGAGTGTGCATACCTTTCATATTGGCGGTGGTGTTGTGAAGGCTAGCAATGGGGTGCTCCAAGCACTAGAAGCGAAAGGCAGGTTTGCAAAGGGGAGGACAGAAGCGGATGCGTAAAATAGGTCAAAGCCAGAGAGCTCGGTATGGGATGAGGCCAGCTGGATGTTATATGGTCTGGTACTGCGTCCACATTTAGCGGAGCTAAGCTGCTCCCTGGCCTCTTCCGAGCTTCTAGCGTCCAGCTTCCCCTTTCTTCACCCACCGCATTTGCAGTCCGTCGGCCGCTACGCTCGTCAATTGTCCCCTAACGGCAGCAGCCCCTGCAGAATTCGGGGCCCAGATGCGACCGTCCCTGATCACTCAGCCTATCCGCTTCTAATTGCAGCACAGAGTCACAGTGCTCTGCGGGTAACGTCGTATACCACCGCCAATTGCTGCCAACGGCGCATCACGAGACGGCAGCCGGGCAGGTACCAATTACCTCAACTGCGGTCATGTTGCCCGCAACTCCCAAGTCCTGTTCCTTGTACCGCTTCTCCCCTGAAAATGTCCCACGTGCCTCTATGCTGTGAAATTGGAGGCGTTGGAGCAACAGAATCTTTTGATCACGCCCGGTCCACGCAGTCGGAAGCGATCCGCGCCCCTGGTTTGAGACGGGTTGTGGCTGACGACTGTGGCGGGGTGTCAGGCCAATCACAGGCCGCTCCCGAGCCGGTGACGGCCGCCCGTCGCCTTGTCACTGTGGCTGACAAGTACGCATGATCAGTGTGTACGGAGTACGAGGGCGCATATCCACGGCCCTTCTACTGACTAGCCGCCCCCCCTTCCTCACATCTCACGATAGGCCTCAAAAGGGACTCGAGCCTTATGCGACGCGCGTCTTGCTGTACATCTGTGGCGAGACAAGCACCCCATCATGCCTTCATGCTGCATGCTGACGCCGTTGTAAATAAAGCTTAGGGTGCAGTCAAGCAATCCTCCATATACTTAGCAATTCATGTGCCAACGCCTCTGTAGTGTACTCTAGTATCTAAGTAAATGCCGCCACTTTGGCCATTGCGAACCATGGGCATGGGAGACCTGGTACTACGACCGGTGTGCTCCGCATCCACCAAATGGCGGTGCCAAGCCGTAGACCCTGGCAAGGTCTACCTAAAGAATCTACCGTCTTACAAGTCCCTTTCGTCTGCAGCTTTCTTCGTGTCAACACCAGGCTAATTTGAGTCAGTTAACATCAAACTGTGAGTATATTATACATGTTCTAGTACAAGAAGAGCCAACATACGCGGAACCTAAACACGCTGTACTTCACGACATCACACATGCGATACCCCGATCAACTCTTTCGTCGAAAGCTCATCGACCGCAGGGCATTACCAACGCTACTTCCCCGTTTGAACATGCTGGGCCTCCTTGCAGGACCTCCACTTGGACTCTGCTCGCCCTGACCTTGACGAGATGACCAGGTCGAACTTTTGCTACCTGGCGACGACCCAGGCGTACTCGAAGGAGTCTTAGCGGCGTCGCCAAAAAGAAACTGCTTGGCAAAGATCCAATTCCCGCGCTCATACCTCCACAGATCCAACCCCACGGCCTGCCCCTCCTGATTGCGCTCAGACAGCTCCTGGCGGATAGTAGAAAAAGCACCGTCAACCTTGTGCTCATCATCCACCTTGTTCATAACAGTCCAGTGAGGCCGGAATCCGCCAGCATCCTGCTCACTCAAAAAGGCTGCCCACTGCGACTGCAAGTCAGCATGCACGTGCTTCATCGCCTGGTACCCCTCGTCAACATTGATGCCCACGCCTTTACGCATGCGGAACGGCTTGCCAGATGAGACGGCAAATGGCTTCACACCGCTTGCTACTTGCGCCAGCCCCTGTTCCAGTGTCTCCATCTTGGATTCAGGCAGCGCATGGAAAAGCGTCAAGTGCGCACCCGTGCGATTCAGGTGCCTGGGGAAATATCGACTCCGCATCTCTTCCATGGACTCTGCAAGCTCATCCGTCACCTTGAGCGTAAGCACGTAGACATTTTCTTCCTCGCTTCCAGAGTTGGGCATATGCTCTGCCCGAGGGTACTGGCCTGACGGTCGACTGTCTTCGACGATATACGGCTGGTAATCACTTTTCTGGTGATACTGCTGCTGTTGCGAAGCTTTCGGACTCGTCTTGCTTTCCTTCTTGGTTGTCCACCCCCGAAAACTCGTCTTTGCTCGGACCCCTGCTCCAGGCCGCTGCGGCTTCTGCTTCTCTTGCTCGGCTCCATGTGTCGTTATTGCCGATGCCTCGAACGATGCTCGCATGTCAGGGTCAGAGCAGGCACGGGCTTGGATTGTTGGTTGTCGCAGTGCCCCGTTGGGTATGCTGACAGCTGCTGCATGCGTGACTGCCATATTGCTCAGGTGCTGTGTATTCGTACGTAGATGTGATGACAGATGTATGCCTGGAACGGTGAGTGTTGGTTGAAAGAAAAACGATTGACCGAGCTGCCGAAAGACAGCTATCTTCATCGATCGAAAGAAAGATAGGGTTAAAGCGAAAAGTGATAGCAAGGCTGGTGCTGGTTTCGTTGCTTCTTGTGGTCTTGACCCCCTGTTGGGGGGTCGTTCAGCAACGGAACATCGGAAGATCCATACGTCACTGAGCAGCCACTAGTGGTTGCGCCCGCGCGATGTGGAGATGGCCCTCGCCGTCCGTTCAGCTCTGTGTCGGGTTAACGTTGGTGCGTTTGGGAGCCTTGCACAATCCATGTTGTAGCATCTAAGTAAAGAAAAAGGCAGCGTTGTAAGTGAGGTGATGTGCTTGGGAATTGTTTAATTATGGTTTGTAATCCTGGTTGCATGGGTAGCGCTTGTTGAGCCAACCTCTACGCAGGATGTACCACTATCATCATCTCGAGGCCACACTTGGCGTACTCTTATATTACCAGTACCATATATCAGCTAGATCAGGGTCTGCTGGTGGCTTGCCATTTTTCATTCTCCCGCCAGGCTCTCGCTGGAACCTTCGAGAACCCATGTACTTGAACAAATGGCTCTGAATGTCTCATTGTCTCTTGTCGCTTCCACGCGATAATAAATCAGCGCGCTATCTTTGCCCAGCGGAACCACCTCGTCATGACTGAGAGTATATGACTTCCAAGGTCTGAAATCGGGGCTCTGAAGCGTCTCGTGAACGGTGGGTGAGGACACGGAGCTAAGGATCATGTCGCCCGGAAATATCATGACTGGATTGCTTGATAAAAGTGGGATAATATCGGAGCCAGAGCTGCAGAGCGCTGCCCATGCTTTGTGTTCGAGCGAGCACACGGCGGCTGTCAGCGAAGGATTGGTGAGGGTTGGGGTCGCCATTGCGGAGGTGGAGCACGTCGTAAATCGACTAATCCGGTTGCGCGCCGATAAATGGAGTCGATTACTAGACTTCGAGAAGGTCTGACGTGCAAGTTCGGCCGCGGTAACCGTAATCACGCCGTAGACAGGAGCTGGATGCAGGACAGTAGAGGAAAGACGTACCCCGCGATGCGGCTGTGACATAGTGTGATCACATATCTTGTGTACGTCACAGCTGCGTATTCATCACTTGGCGCATGTTTGATACCTTCTGAGCGATGTAAACGCTGTGTGAGAATGAAGTTGTACACTTGATGGCGTGCTTGACCATGTACGATGGGCGGCTTCGCCCTGGGGGCTGCGCAAGAGATTCACTGTCGCAGTTGTCTTGGCACATTGAATATGGCGCAACGGCAGCTCTGACAGGCATCGGACCAATCTTTGATAATGCAGCGTCAACCAATTTAGCCTCTGAGTGCGGACTGTACAGTACTCTACTGGATGTACACGTATGGCGTTTGGTACTGTGTCGGTGAAGACAGTGGTCGGCTTGATCACCGCAGAGGCGCGGTTGGCTTCTTTGGGAGCGTATATACGTCACATGTCCGGGGGGGCAGGGGGGTCCAGGCTCCAGGCGATAACGGTGGGCCCAGCGGGGGAAGGGCTGGAGTCCATGATAGTCCAAAGTCGCCACAACAACAACACGGTGGAACCCGGGGCGGCGACGGACAGAGGCAACAAACAGGTGGCGTTCCAGTACAGCATGTGAAGTGCCAGGCTGAATAATAGTACATGGACGGCGGCAAAGAATAGGTGATGGGCAGCGCTGCGGCGAGGCGGTGGAAGCAGCCGGAATGTTCCCGTGCGCCGCCGCTGATTGGTGCACGGACTCTGGTCGCATCATTACTCGCCCTTTGACCCAGTCACTGCCTCAGCCTGCCTCCATATAAGCCACCGCTCCGCCAGCCCTGCCTTTTTCCCTTTCCTTACTCTTACTCTTACCCTCACCCATACAGCACCAAAACAAGGCTGTTTCCAGTACATACACAAACCCATCACACACCAAACACAGAAGAGAACACGCAACCATGCAGATCTTCGTCAAGACCCGTAAGTAGTAGCCATCGCCACCTTGGCCTTTACCGCGCCTCAGCTGCTAACCAGCTTCGCAGTCACCGGCAAGACCATCACCCTCGAGGTTGAGTCCTCCGACACCATCGACAATGTCAAGGCGAAGATTCAGGACAAGGAGGGCATCCCACCAGACCAGCAGCGT